AAACCGGTCGTGGGCTGTCGATGGATTTTCAGCAACCTTATGAGTAGTACGTTACAAATATATAATCTTACAGTAATGACAACCCCCTGTAAAATCATTTCAGCTTTACTGTCTTTTGGGAATATCACCGTAAAATGTTTTGAATGATTTTCAAATTTATGAGCTGCACTCATGCTAGGAAAAGGAATCTAATGCTTTAGAAACTAAATTTGTATTGTTCACGTCATTGTCATTGTGCTTATTAAATTATCCTATGGAGTAAAAATGTGTAAACTTAATTTGTAGGAGTTGGATAGTTGAACAAAAGACAATGGCTCATAGAGCCATGATCATGAAAAACAACACGTCAGCAATTTATGTTGTCGATTAACCGGCACACAACTATTGGAAAAGACGAGCTGAACAAGGGTGGTTATCGAAAAACAATATACGTCTGGTAGGAATAAGTTGATTTTTCCTAGAAAAAACGATAACAATAATGTGCCTATAATTTTAAACAGCAATTAAATTAGACGCATGAACAACCTATTGAAAAAGATTACCGTCAACAGAATTAACGCAGCTACTAGCACCGATCTCCAGCAGTGTATGTCACATAAAGCCCAACTGAAAAATTGCGGCACACATGTCACCCCAGCAAGTACTCTCCGGTGGCTTTCATGTCAGTTTTAAGCAGGATCATGAGTGCCCAACTCAGGAAGGCGTGACGATCACCATTATTGAGCACCGCAATGCTGTACGCGGAGAACATTTGGTCACTGACTTCTTGAGACCGGTAGAGTGATTTTTCGGCAGCTAACATTCAGGGCTGCTTTTTACACTCCTCAAACTACAGTATAAATTATTGCTTTAAAGTCCTGATTTGTTACCAAGCACCCACCGAGGCAAGAATTCGCTGCTTATTTTACTTCGGCCAGCTAAATCCAGATATGCTATCTTCTGGTCAGATGATTAAAGAAGTTTAGCGACCTCAGATTAAAGTAGATAAGTTTCTAACCTCTTTAGTAGGACAGATCTCACAGTAACTCTGTAAACGCGCCTACTGAGCTAAAATCAGATGCGCGCCTGAAAGGATCAGAGGCGGAAGTAGGCACATGACTTTCGAAGACTGATTACCCGCGCACTGACATCACGTGTTACAGTACAAACACGACTTATGCAGTGGCCATGATATGAAAACCACTAACAAATTTGAAGAAGTTCATTCTTTGATTCATGCATAACATAAGGTGAAACGTTGGGTCACATCCGGTCCTATCATACCTCGTGTTTACGCATAAAATCCGTATAAATGAAAACTTGACTACCGGATTCAAGTTATTGTCAAGTTATAACAAAAATCATCGTATTCGTGATGGTACGGACGGAATGAAGATTTTATTCACGTGCACCGATTGCAAAGCTCCCGTGTCAGAAGCTGTCAAAAACATGATAGAAAGTCGTCGGATAAACAGGTTAACCGTTGCCGCTTAGAAGCAAACAATTTGGTTACCCATCTATAAATGGGTTTTTACGCAGCTGAGACATAAGAGTGTTTTCATTAAAAATTTCTAAATTTTAAATTTAAATTTCTAAAATTTAAAATAAAAAATTTAATTTACGCTGCTTTATGCTACAATATGCGATGAAATGAAACATTCGAGAGCAATAAAATTATCGACAATGACATTACACGTCTTATGTTAACCTTATAATCAAAGAATTTTTCATGCACCGCCGTAGACGTTCAAAGCGAATGTCTAAACTAGGTCCGTTTTTTCACCATATAAGCTGACAGTAATTAAAATAGCTAGGAAAATGTCGCCAGAAATAAGTTTCTACATGCATTGTCATTAAGTGGATGCTTGCTTTCGAGTGGGTCTGTTTCCGATATGTAAATGTTTGTTTGAAGAAATTCCGACAAATGTCATTCTTAGAAATCAAGCTGACTATCTGTTTTTCAGGGCCGTCAATGTACGCTTGTCACCAGTGGTGCAGTCGCGATTGGGGTGCGTCGACTGGATACGAACTCTGGGACTAGCAGCCGAGGTGCTCGGGCTGCTGTTGGCATGACTGAACTGGTTTCTGTTTACAGTCAATTATTTGAGCATTGTGGCTTACGATCAGCTGTGGTGAGTGTTCTTTTGTCTCAAATAATGGGACCGCGTACACTTGTTGGATGGCGGCTCTAAAGATCCTACTCCAGCAGTAAGATATTCAGTGACCTTGTCTAAGGTCAATCTTACTAGCCTGATGGTCAGACTGTCCTAGTTGCACTTTGTGTCAGTCTTCATACCAGAAAACTGTATGTTCCAATTCTCTGAAGAACATTGAGAAAAGCCCAACTAAGTACGAACTGGCTGTACAATAACTGCAGTCTTTGAGCGTAGCTTCGCTTACTTTGCTAGGTAAATTCTGGCTCTTTGAAATAGTTCGAAATCTACGTTGATGAACTAGCAAATGTTGGGTAAATATAAACTTTATATTTGTTTTCTTCACAAGCTATAATTTTTGAAACAGACTAGCATTTGTTATCAGTAAATTTTTCCGGAATTACTATTAAACATGCCGAAGGACACCGACAGTTACCTAATGACAACAGAAACTTTTGTCGAGCCATTTTGTTTCATTTTTCTTGATCTCAGAAATTACATCCAGACTAGATACACAAGCATTCTTCTGGGCGTCAACCTAACTTACGACTGTATAATTAAAAAAAAACAAGCTTCATATGACTGCTTTGGTTTATCGCGCAGCTGTTGACCAGTGCAACCACCAATGTCTAAAGTAAACAGTCGGCTAAGTCATAAAGGTCAGTAAACATGGTGCGAAAATTTTCGACCAAGATATTCTTTACGCGCACCGCTAGTCTGCCACCAACGCAACGGAGTTTAGATGAGATATCAAACAATCCTTTTTCAAAAGTTTTGTCACACAGAGCTATGAAATAAAAATTCCCTATCAGTGAATAGTACATCATAAAAGTTGCACCAGTACCCGAAGGCGAACGCTTAGTATGGTTGCATATACCGCTGAGAACCTTGGGAGGACGGGTGAGTGGTATACATGTTATCCTGTGCAAAGATTAACATGAACACGGTTATGTGCTATGTTTAACCTATCTCTACATGTTCCACCACTCGGTTTTGTTTCTTCAGGGTTTTATCAATAACAATAACACGTTGGAAATAATGCAACCATTACAGCCACATTTGGCAACAAAAATATTATTTCACTGAAGTTCTTCAACGTTAATGAGGTTTATCAATGCCCCTTTGTCGTAGGTCCCATAAAAACATCCAGTTGCCTAAAACACTCTGCTAATAACTTTTGTAAACACGGCTATATTTTGACGAAGCAATTTTCACTTAAAACGGAGCAGTCATTTGATAGAACACTATAGAGCACTAACTGAAGTCCAGCTACACTATCCTTAAGAAAGTTCGATGTGTATGAGTAATTAAGGCTTGTGCATGCGATGATTCGCATAATTCTAGTCATATTATGGTTCGATGAACCTAATATTTCGATACTGGTAAACTGCTAACGGATTGGCTCCATGAAGCATGGCTGATTAGTGTGAGTTTTTCACCCCAGTGTATTTATTACGGTAAACGAACGTGGTGTATGGATCAGTGAGCAAGAAGAAACATCAACATTGGAACATGAAGTGACTGCTACTCACATATTTTTGGAGGCGATCAAGATATTCGGTGGTAAACATATTAACTAGACCATAGATTACTAGGCGCACTGATTAACCTAGAAAAATATTTTCTGTTTGTGCGACTACCAACTGTGCAAAGTCTTGGTTGTTTGATCAACGTAGATGTCAGTGTTTTGACGGACAACATCAAGTGATTACAAACCTAAGTACGTGTGATACCCTTGACCCCTAAGTGGAGAATACATGGCTAGGAGGCTAAGCAACTTCTTTTGAAAACAGCATGCCAGGGATATGCGCACGTTTCGAGTACAGCCTATCGGCAATCATACAAAAGAAGTAAAATCTATGAAATTGTTGTGATTCTGTGGGTTAGGCAATACACCAGACACTTGTATGCTCCAGTTATGAAAAAAGTTCGGCTTTCGCTTTGGTTTTGGCAATTCCTATGCTATCCAATTGGTGCATATCGTTGGTTTGAAGTTCTAAACAGACTTTGAACACTCTGTAACGTGGTCTACTGTACTTCCGCAAATCACTTCCGTCTACGATGACAGAAAGCAGGAACATATGGGTGGACGAAACACAAACCCGTTTTACTGGATCATCACCAAAGCTCTGTTATGCAGAGTCCTTATCAGACGGCGTAAAGGAAAATATGGTCACGTGTATGATTTCATCCGCAAACATACAGCGTAGTACCCCTGATATGAGCCAAAGGGAACTGCGGTTATCGTGAAGAACTTATTGTACATCCTATCTTTTGTAAACACCTAGGTAGAAAGGGTTCCCTGTATCAGTATGAAAATCGCTTCGATACATCCGAACAACGACCGCGTCTTAAGCTTAGAGACATCAGCATCTGGTGCTCTTACAACTAAGTTAACACCGGAAAAATCGGACGAAAGGTGGGGAACTTTGGGGGAATAAACGTTTCTTAAGTGGCCTTCAGCACGCAGCAGTGGTGAATGTGCACATTTATTCTACCGGGAAATATGAAAAGATACATCTCTGTCGCAAGCTCTGGTGTACTCAAAAAAAGAGTTGCACTAAAAAGCGGCCGAAAGCACAGCTTGTTCATATGCCACACTCTGATGGTAATGGCATATGGACCACTGTACAAAATAAGGACACTGCATTCGATTTTACGTCCCTCAAACTTTTAGCTCGATTGATTTTATAGCTATGACGTCCTCATCTTCTCTGAGGTCACATCGTTCAATTCATGATGCGCGATATTTACTTTGTAGATGCTTTTGACACCCGTAGACTTCGACGATGTGCGGCGTCGAGAATATTGGACCAAGGCTCTCACAGATTTGATGGATCAGGGCGTTGTTCCCATTATAAACGCCAACGATTCAGTAGCCTGGGTTGAAGAAGCCAACAGTTCGCTACCGGTGAGTTTAGCTAGTAGATGTTAGTGAAAATCCACTCTGTGAACACTAACAATGCAGAACGTGTTTGGCGCATGTATAGACAAACAGCAACGTATTCTGCAGAATTAACGTCAAAAAATATTAGGTTGGCTTGATTTGGCAGATATCTGTCCCCATTGCATCATCCGGTATTCAGCAGATTGAAAGGCTTCAGCGCAGAGTCTTCAGCCATAAATTATATGGACTTTTAGCGTGTTTTACAAGTTAATAGGTCGGTTGAAGCTCATGGCATTCAGTGGTTTATAAGTTGTCTTAGGTCGGCATACATCTATTAAGCAATTAGGCCAATTAAGTGTGCTGATACCTGAAGTAACCGCCTAGAGTATCCGTAAAAGAGATACAGTTGCCGAATGTACACGCTTTCAAGCGTTTATGCTGCAAATCTGGTTCCTTGATATGTTTTCCATGATATCATCTAATAATTGCCATAGATCCAGGCAATACGCTGTCTTCTGTCTGAATATATTTGTTACAACACATCTTATCGCCTTTTTGAGGCCAGATTTTCCCATCAAACACAAGCACATTCCCTGGAGCTATCTGTAGGAACACCTGTTTTCCAAGTTCACCAGGTTACATTTTTGTAAACGGCGTCATAGTTAACGACGTGCTGTACATATTGATGGCGGAGATGCAGTGGCCTCAATCAGCCGTCATGGACGTCTTTGAGTAAACAACTTAACGCTTTTTGTATGCGTACGGTTAAATCGTGTGTTGTTCTACAAGCGGTTAGCCAGTCATTTGCAAGCCTCATATAATTTGGAAATGACCTGAACACCTTTATGTTGTCGCCGGGTAACGGAACACTAGCAAGATATTTCACTTACAGTACTTATGGCTTGAATTTGCTATTTGGCCCACCAACAGTCACTTCAAATCTCCATCAATTTATGCAGCACTTGAAACGTTTTTTTAACGAACATGTTAGTCCCTCATGCACGCAGTAAGCAAATAATCTTGGAAAGCGCATACTATAGTTTTATTGTTGCTTCTTTGGCTAACGCTGCGCTCGCCAATGAATACTGAAATGACAAGTACATGAAAACGAGTATTTCCACTTCATGTGATGATCCATGTGTGCATGGTTGATCTCTTTGCTGAAACGTGCTATAAGCATTTAATCATCATGTATCAAGACAAGGTTACCGGTGTGGTTCTATATAGCGCACGGCAGCGCTGAAGTAGTGCGTCCCTATTACGGGAGCTGATATACGTATCTGTATGATGAAGTTACCTTCAGTTATGTTGACATTTATGTTGGACATCACACTGTTTGAATTCAACTTCGTATTCTGTTTGGTTACATTTAGATTGGAGATTTCTAAGTCATGTCCTGTGAAACCTGTTGTTTTGCTGCTAGAGCCCCCTGATTTATTTGCGTAAAGGTCACTTTCATTTCAGTCCTGTGATTACAGTGGTAATTCACTGAAGGTGAAAGTGCACAGATGCGGTTCAACATGTCGGCCTGATGGGTGTACTGGTAGTATCACGCCCTTACGAGATCCACTGAAGCACCAAATTATCAGAGGCTACAGACTGAGTTTTTTAAGCAAAATCCGTCGCGGCCTGTGTGTGGTCTCCGCAGTACAATATGACAAAATTTTCTGGTCACCTTGTTTTGAATTCAAGAATACAGTTTTCTCAAGGCTGTAGTTGCATTATCCTTACTGATAATCCAAAGTACTCCTGATACAGGCAATTATTGTTAGCTTACTCGATTGATTTCATTACTGTGATACTCAAATGCTCATTTGTTCGGCTGCTTCCGGTAAATTTGTGGGGTTACATCTTATTGGACAGAACTTCGTTAAAATATGTTTAATCTTACCTCAGTTCATATGTGCCTCAGTATGTCTGCTCCCTTTAGTGAAACTTAAAATTTACTCATACTACAGTCCACCTGGCAGCTAACAGACTGTCTCATTGAAGCAAAATCTACGCCCTTTCAGCTACCGGCATCCATATCCGGTAGCAAGATTCATTTCCTCATTATCTGAGTGTCAAATCAATTGCAGGTGGGTGCTGGGTTCATTAAAGTGGCGACATTTACGAAACTAGATCGGAGTTAATTATCTCTCCATAAGATAACAGATGGGCCGATTTCTTTGTTTTATTATTATTAGAATCCTTCGAAAGCTCCACTCTTGCGGGACAATGACAGCTTAGCTGCACGTTTGGCTTGCCTAGTGGGGTCCGATTTGCTGTTTCTGGTTTCTGACGTAGACGGAGTTTACACTGCCCCACCAGACAGTCAAGGCGCACGGTTCCTCTCAGAATATGCAATAAACCGTAACGGAGACACCGTGGACTGCATGAATGGAGGCAATGTGAAATTTGGCAGCTGCTCAAAGGTGGGAACAGGGGGCATGCAAAGCAAAGTCGCGTCGGCTGTGTGGGCCGTGCGTCAGGTGAGTGCTTTTAGAAATTCATAAATCACCCAATGTTTGAGATGTTATGCAGCCTTAGCGGTTTGCTTCGGTTTGCCAGCTTTTGCGAGCGAACATCAGAATAATTTGCTTTGAAGGTCATGTGTGGCCAAAGTTTGAACCGATTGGTGATACTTTTCTCTTCAGTATTCTGTATGCTAGTGATTATTTTCTCACAAACTGTTCACGCAGATGTCCCTGATTAAAGGATACAAATGCATTCACGTGAACTTAACCAGAAACATAGCAACTAGCAATCAACCAGGACTACCGGTGGCTTCTGCCAACATTTTAGCCAAAGTTTTCACGGACTTTTTAAATTGCACATGATTTTGAGGGCAAGACGTTCGTTCTCTTATTTTGTAGTGCATTTCATATAAATCGCATCACCTTGCTCCTACTGAGTAGTCCGGATGGGACTCGTTGAGTTCAAGTCGGTTTAGTGACAGGGACTGTTGCCTTCGGTTATAAAATAAATGGTATGAACAAGGTTCAGTGTTCAACTGCCAGGGCCAGGATCACTATTCACGTCGAACCACATTCACGTAAAACCCAGGGTTTATTTGAATGTGAATGAGTTGAGAATATGGCCCGTATCCATTCAGTATAGTTGGTAGAATGCTAACAAACCTGTTTGTGTCGTTGAAGAATTGAGCATGAATTAAGAGAGTAATCGTTATGCATTTATCTGGTGGTTATTGTCATTCACTATTGCGAACCGCACGATCCCTTTAACTGCAGAACTCTGCTGTATGCTCCCTGTACTAATTGCAAGGATTGGGCAGAGTTTTCAACAGTCCACCCAGTTGCCTTCGGACCAACAATTCGCCCCCACAACCAAAATGTTTTTCCCGGGTTTGAAATTAATGCAGCTCATACTGATAACTACTTTGCAATGTGCAGGCTAGTGTTTGACTTAAGGCATTTTGATTGTTTCTTGAGACCCCAGACCCCATTCAAGCTGCTGACGTAAGAGTAGATGGCTGATCATGCTTGCTCAGAGACGAAGTTACTGAACTCCGTTCCGTTCCGAAGCAGAGTTGTTTTGTGCACGTGAACATGGTGAACTGAGACAGTTCTTGTTCCTAATAGTAGCTGTGCTGGTCAGCCGAGTAACTATACCCTGACTCTCTGTGTAAGCTTCCTTTACACTTAATATGTTGTCCATTTCTCATTGGTGAATTTGGGCACATACGAAAAAAATCACTTCTTTCCAGTAGTTCCCATAAATATTTACACATTCGTACGTGAAAGGGTGCCTTCGCCAAAATCGTCCTCAAATGAAGTAGCCTTTAATTTAGTTCGCCCAAAGCGATCTTTGATACAAGGCATAGACAAACGTTTCTAGCGGAATCCTCGTAGACTGGTTGATCAACAGCCCGTACGGATCCACTTAAACGGTTCATTACATGGTATTTGGAGCTGCGGTAATATTTATGTTCCACAACGTACGGGCAACAACAGAAACACCTGTGGTCACAGAAACTTTACGCTGAGGCTTTCTTGTTGTACTGATCCACTCAACTATCTTTTCTAAGGGATGGCTGACGGACAACATGCATCATGGTTCGACAGAGAGTTTACCCTGTAAGCGATATCAGAAGCTAAGAAGATTGCACAACCATTTTGTCCATATTGGGAATCATTAATAATACACATCACGTGAAAATTATGGGGATTCCAGACCCAGATACTTGTTGAGGACCGAACCCTTTTGCCACGAATCGCTGCTTAGTAGTGCGGTCACCTTACACCTAGACAGGAATTGCTGCTACACAACTCAAATCGGCTGTTGACTGAATGTTCAGATGACGACTTCGCTGATTTGGGCGATAAATGATGACACGAACGGAAAGCCCGACGTCTCGAACGACGACCTAGTAACATATCTTGGTTGGGTAGATCGAGTGGTTCGTAAGTCAAGACTTTCCAGTAAAGCAGCCTTAGAGAGGCTTGGAAACACCTGGACAGCTTTTTAAATTAGTTGTTGGTGGTTGCGGGATTTGTGGAATTCAGATGTCAGATGTGCGGAGTTTAAACCTCGGCATGGCAAAGGATCAACTCTAATAAGAGCGAAACTCGAGTTCAGTGCTCCCACCGTTTGGTATGGGCTTACCAGAATGATTGCGCCAGGGAAAGAAGACAATCGTCTGAACAAGAGGCATGTGATTAGGCCTCCTACAAATCCTGCAAACACCAACAACTAACCAATTATATACCGAGCTGTGTTCAACAGTACGAGTGACTGATATTTTTGCATCGAATTACTTTTCTATTCCGTTCCACTTACCACTCATCTGATACGGCATCCCAGTGTGATATTTCGAATCCCATCCATGGTTGCGGACTAGTGATAGGTTTGACGACTGTGTATTTTGAAACCAAGTTTGGGTGTTTTCCAAACAATAAGTTGATGTCAACTGTTCATTTGTTACTGAAATGTCCAACAATAATTTAATTTGTGTCCATAAAATGGCGTAGAATAAAAGTTGAGGTTGGCTGGCAAGAAAATTTCCACAGGTGGCATAGCTAGAAATATCACTTTCGGACCCGCACCATGCTGAATATTAGGATAGTTTTGAAACTGTTCGACAATTTTGATGGCAAAGTGCACTCATGTAGGTCAACATAAAGGACACAAAATGCAGCATTATTAAAAATTACCCGATTGCTTTTAAAAAGGATTTGGGGGTCAAAAGCTACACCTTCTTCAAAATGCACAGCCATGGCACATGGTCCCCTAGTTGAGTGATCGAACCTACTGACATCTGTGTGTCCCCTAAGACACGCTAAAGGCAAATGTTTCCATATGTCTGTACGTTTTTGGTTTTTTGCCAGAAATCTGTGTCCACAGCATATTTCACATTCTGTCCTTTCCTGGATGCAACAGACTTATGGCATTTGTCGTGAGTATCATAATTATTATAAGCCATACAATGGGTAAATTTTTGCAACAATCTATCATCAGTTTGTCCTCTGGGGACACATGAGGTAGGTGTAGCTTTCTAGCGATGACGTCAAACGTATGTTCTGCTTGCTTGCGGTATAGGCTCTGGTCATGATTTGATACTTCGATATCTCAAATGTCGCGACAACTGAGTCGTTAGGTATTACTCGCATGTTAATTCTGTTTACCACTGTTATTTAACAATTCACTATTTTGAGAGATGCATACGACCATGTTTGCGTAGAGCTGGGATGGTTCCTTTATTCATCGAAAGTTTGCTAAAGCTTCGTATTCCGAAGACTTGTATCCTGCCTGTCAACAGCCAAAACTCTCGTTTGCCCATTTAAATTAGCTCGAACAAACACCATTGGTCAGTATTTTACTCGACATCTATCAAGATATACAAAACAAAAAAAAACCACTAACTAACATAGTACAACGGAGGTGCAAGTTCTGAAAAAACGTCACGCTATAAGATCATTTCCGGTTGATTTTGGGCCCAGTGCACCTGGTTTTCAGATGTCCTGTTCTGCGCGTAGTGTCAAACTCAAAATCAATTTCTTACTTTTGATATTAAAACAGGGAACATCTGTGGTTATCTGTCACGGGAACAGACCGAACTGCATTACGGATGTGATACGTGGTGCCCCGGTTGGTACATTCTTCACAATGCGGCAATCCGAGGACAGCAGTTTGAAAACCCAGGGAGTTAATTCCAATGCAGAACAAGTGGCTCGTGATGGTCAGTTGGCTACAAATCATCTTGCGTATTGTGGATCAATTTTTCGTGTGTCTGACATGACTGCTTCTATTAATCTGACACAAAATGAATGAAGGCATTACTCCGTGGAGTGTTAAAAAACAAGCTTCCTTTTCCTTAACTGGTTAAAATGAGATGAAATAAATAGCCGCGCACATTGAAAACCATTTTTTGGCTCTCACTTAGCTGGAAACAATCATTCGTGAAAACCTAACAAGCGGGATCTTGCGCACAAATTCTCATCACAGGGTGATTGTGGCTGTTGAACAGGCACATACCTGTGGTCTGTTTATCCGAGAACACGTGAACATGAAAGCGGAACTGTTGGTTGGAGTTGAAGTCGTCTGTTAAGATTAGAATGGTGAATGATCTGTGTCTTACAAATGCATGGTTCCTACAAGATTCTTGTTTAGGCTTGTTCCGCGGGTAGACGAATCCGGTGAAATTCTCAGGTGAGAAAAGTAACTTCCTGGAAGTTTTCCAGAATAAGTTATGGTAAGATTCCATGTCAGCTTCAATGAATGGAGTGTATTTATGGTTTACTTATTTGGCCAACATAGTATCCCACGGTTGGAACATCACAAAAAGCCGTCCATGCCTGCATACACTCGAAGCTGATACTTTGTTCTCCAAGATTGATGATCTACCCAAGAGGTCTATTTTTAGCCATCCTTGATGGTATCCACTAAGATTTACTTCCTTCTGAATCACCTAACTTATCCTAGAGGCGGGAGGAGCCTTACTTCCTGAAGACTGCTTAATGGAGGACGACACCGCAATCCTAAATGTGTTCCATAAAATTTTATTACATGCAAAACCCGGTGTACCACACCCCTGCGTGAATTAATGACCTCAAGTCCATTCAAGAAAGTTTTGCTTTTAATGTAAATGTGAGTCGGTTTTCCTCACAATTCGAGGACGTAAGAACACAAAGATGAAAAATATTTCGGTTGATTTTATTCCATTTTGACTGTAGACGGTATTTTATCACTTGCCTACGGAACGTACGTCAGCCTTGTGCTTTTTAAGTAGCCGTGACAGCTCAACAAGTTAGCACACCAATCTGCTGATTTTTGTTTACTTTCATGGCGTAACAAATCTTATTTACATGATGATATGCCTAGAAATATAGTTTAGATAAAATAGTGGTAAGTCACATCAAGAATGTTAGTAAACCACGGGAAATATTGCACAGTGCTTGCTCAGATTCGTGACCTGCTACTGAACTTCACTTGTGTACCATTCATTATTCATTTCCTAGAAGCGAATAGACAGCAGTTTGAGGTATAAAAAGAACAACGGATTTCTAAAACGAAACATTATCTTGAACTATTTAACTGGCTGTTCTACAGCAAGTTGTTTTGGTCGATACTTACTACTACGAATCTTCCTCAGACGGGACCAGTTGGATCGAGTCCGCAGCTTGTCAATATTTAAAGAGACTGAACTCGGCTTTCAGTATACCTGTTTTGGTAATGGAGAATAAGACTCCATTGGGAGAAAGTGGTAGACACGCTCTCTCTGAACCCGAATCGATATTCTTATGTGAGTCATACTCATTTCGTGTTTATCAAGTAAACCATCCATCCATTCTCAAAACAGACAAAAGTTTGTGCAAAGTGAACTATGTTCAGGAGTGATTAAGCCCTCTGTTTACATCAGGTTCACTTCCGTACAAAACAAAGCTATGAACTGCTTATGGGTGCTTAGTAGGATAGACCACTTTGTACACGAGTATGCTACAAGCATATCAATATGCTTCTGCCTTGCATGGCTCGGGTAAGCAGCAAGACCAAGTGACTATCAAAATAAGGGTTTATACTACTACGGCGAGAAAGACCAGTTGCATCATCTAGGTGACTTCTCTAGAAGATGCTTCTGGTTTACTAGTTGACACTCCTCAAACTCAGATGAGCGCACAATAACCAGTCTGTACAGACACATCGCCGCCAGTCTATGTGTATATCTATCTTATTGCAAAGTTGTGGTATTTCCACTGTAATATAAGCACTACGTAGTTCACTGCACACAAATCAACATCTGTAGTGACTACAGTTAGGTTTATTAACTCAAAAAGATTTCTTCTATTCATCTTGGACTACTGAATAACACAATCAGGGCTCCCTTGCTCTTTAGAGATTATGCGCACTAATTTCAGGAACTGAGGCTTCACGTATGATCAACTGACTTTTGTTGCGCGCTACAGCATGCAATCCCCATGCCAGCATGAGTTCACTAATTCTAACGGTGAACGTAAAGTTTAATCCGGTAATCCTATTTCAACCGCAAAAAATTCCATTTCACATTTGATGAACATGTAAACTCGAGTGCCTTGCTCATAGATATAGATAACAAATCAGGTTGAATCACGGAATATGAAACATACTGGGGAATAGTGTAAGTTATCAGTGAAGAATTAACTTCATCATATAGCAAATTATTCAGGAAAATCTAACAGCTAAAGCAAATTCTTGAGCTTAAAACAAAAATAAATGACCACTGTTATTTATGACAGAATCCGTGAAAATTCCTATTAGTTGAAGGAAAAATATAGGGTTACTTGCGCCAATGTGGTGGTAGAGATGAGTTCAGTTTTTTTGGTACATATGTATGCCGCGTAACCCGCCCCACGTTCACGTTGAACTAATTATTTTCGTTTATGGAAAACTTGACCAATCAGTCGAGTGACTAGGAGAGTTTGATGCAAATGTTGTAAGTGTTAGAGTAAACAAAAGTCAATGAAGTCTCCTTTCAACAAAAATATTGGAGCGGAAATAATGAATTGCGTCTAATTGCTTCGACAGAATCTGTGAAAGTGCGACAACCCCACGAACCCCAAGAAGAGTGGCCTCGTGGGATCACGAACAGTCTTCACTGACCTTTTTTGCATTACGCTCCGTTCGAATCCGTCACCATTTATTTTAATTTCTACCATCGCCTAATTCACAGGGCATTTGGAGAACTAGACAACGAATACATACAAATACGTCCAAAAACGGAATGGATCTTCTATTGTTAACATAGTCGGCAGTCGTTTATTGCAATTGAAAGCCGGTGTTTCAACTTATAACCACAATGCTATGGGATACTAGAATTCAGAATGCGTCATTTCCTGACTATTGTGATACAGCTGGCGGAAGTCAACTGAGTGACTTGTGGTTAGGACTGTGGATCGGCGACTGATGGCGCCGAGTTTTTGGTAAACGACGGACGTCTCAATGTGCCTGTTTCATCATGCTTGGATAGTACTTTCTTGAGATGAGTATTAGCCCACCCTTACCACATTACTATCACTGAACTGGAAATTGAAATGAAAGACTTCGTGAATGACAGCAAGAACGACACTCCGGAGAAGCATTTTTGAAATTTAGAAAATGAATTGATTGTTAGCCTGCATGGTTAAGAAATTAAGCAATTGTTAGTTTTCGGCCAACACTTCACTGCGTACCTCATTCGGATAAAAAACTTAATAAGAATCCCTTTTTGGTAATTCTGAGGTGGTGCATATTAATAGGCTATATCCAAGTAAATTTTTTAAAGGTTATAATTTTCTGGCAGAGTAAGTTTAAGAAAATTATTATACGCTACTCAATTCCTCGGAAGCTCAAATGTTCCTTGTCCCTGTGGAATCATCTAAACTTAGTAAAGATTATCAGCCGCAGGTAAAAATTGAAAAATAAAAATTGTGATCACATATAATTGTTTTTTTTTAATTTCACGAGTAGATACATTTATCGCTAAAGGCTAGTTTTAACTGATAAATGCCTCCCTCCAGTCGTCCATGCCTATTTGTTTTAGCCGACAGGAAAAATTTATCTTGAGCCATGATCTCAATATGTATTATTACGTATGCAATGTCAAATTTAGCGTGATACTAAAATGACCGATTGAAAACTGCTTTGGAACTCTACCCATGTTTTATTCACTATTATCCCAATTAAACAGATGGTTCAGCTAATTCAGAGACCATTGAAGCAGGAATTGATGAAATATTTATAGGCCTGGCAGGAAACGAATACGCGGCGTGGGAAAGCAAACTTTTAGTAGTTAATGGTAAACTGAACTCGTTATCGTGACCCCGTTACTTTTGTTCAGCTATAGTGATTTTACAAACGCTAGTGATAAGAAAATCAGGATAGTGAGAAGTTTTGTCAAACCATGCAGAAAAAAGTAAGAGACCTTTAAAGTTCATTAACCCAAGCAATAACTTAACATGTTGACTAGGTTAATGAATTTTATAGCTAAGGTATAACGTAAACAAGATGAGAACACCAAGGGTGTTCCAATTATATCTAGTTGACCGATGCAGTTTTCTATTTCAGCTCGTCTAGCAAGCGTAGATCTGCATGCCGCCCCAAGTGAACTTCGTTCGAAAGCTATTGACACTCTGTCGGAGCTAATTATGTCAAATCAGGCGGAAATTTTATCGGAAAACACGAACGATATTCGTGCAGCTGAACAAACTGGTAAGTTTTCACATCCAAGTTTCTTTGTCTGGAAGACTGGGTTGATGTCGCAAATTCAGTATAGACTCATCAGGCGTAACCGTATAGATGCTTTGTGTATAGCGCTGCGTTAACTCAGCAGAAGTGAAAAGTACGTGATTAAATTCCGCACGTTGCAGTTTAAAATCAACACATATTGCAATGTCAGCTCTCCAGCTGTCTACACGGGTGCTAATGTCTCCATGAACGGGCCCTGAAAGTGAGGTTTTGCTGACTGTATTCATGCCCGACTTTTTCTGCTGTGGTCAGAACTTTTCTGATTGGCATATTTGACGACGTTTATCAGACAGTTGTGAATTGCTCAATATGAATAGCGTTGTACCTCATGTGTGGCAAACTGGTTGAAACCAAACCGTTAATGGCGTGCTGTGATCCTCTTACATGCAAAGTGATCAGGTATTTGTTTGTATGGGTGTTTGGTTTTTCTATCATTGAGTCTGGCTCCAGATTTCCGCTGCTGTTTTGAACGCTTCAACGTACCTAAACTTTATTTTGGCAGTCGCGTGAACAGCGCGTACACTGATAAATATAAACACCGCGTGGACTGGTAAACATAAACAACACATTCATGCGGTTAAGTGTGGAAAAAACCAAACGCGTGGCCTAAGATTCCCTGCACAACAACATTGTGGTCACAGTATCTAACACAGAGATGCCAAGCGCAGATATACCATATGAATAAGATGAATAGCCAATTTTCATTAGGCAATCCCACATGGAGGCAGCCTACTGGCTTGGACAGTCGCTGAAACGAAGTGATTTAGGATCGAAAACGGATGGGGAAGTAATATAAAGTGAGTTGTTGTTCGTCACTTTGTCGAGCTCGACGGTTGGATTACAAACGTTTTTTTTACCAACTGAGATGCGACTGCCAATTAGAGCCGGGTGGATAAATTCCTCCTTTTGTGCCTGATCTTATATGGTTTATAAACAGTCTAGTGATTCCAAAGTGATTGGCTGATCCCAATGTGGCTGTTGCATAATTTTGGAGGTTATTTTAGAATCCGGGTTGCTTTGAACAATGAGGTCACGTGTAACGAGACCATCATTTCAAGATCTCCAATTTTGACGTTTCTTAGTCTTTAGAAATGGTCTAGCATTGCTGACTGAATATTGAGGTCCGCTTGTGGGATGTCCCACTAGCTTCCATAGTTCTCATGAAATGTTTTATGAGGGTGTTCCTGGTGGTGAAACAATTTGACTTAGTATTGTGTTTTCCTTGTGATCGTTCGTATGCCCATAAATTTCGACACCCTCTCAGTCATTCATTCACCATTATCCCCACTATGTGATTTTGCGAGGTTTCTTGAGTTTGATCAATGTTTTGTTTATTTTGCCTGCGAGTTTTGGCTGCTCTGATGATGGATATATGTGGTTGTTTCATTTGTCGGGGCATTGGATTTGTCGATTTATTCCATTTTTCCGGAATAAATATCGTCCTTCCTTCGTTATCTGGCAAAATAAGGATAGCTTCGTTGTTTTGGGACTGATTATTGGTCTTTTTTATACAGTAGATAAAACGTCTTCTGTTAGGTTTCGTGCATTATCTATGGATCAGGTTGGCATTGCTCATTGAGGCTGTTGAAACTTAGGATCTCCTCGAGATTGACTAAACACCCTAGATGTCTAGCATTCCTGAAATAAGATTTAAGCCCTTTGATAAGCTCTTTTTTCTCCGATGTAGTAAGTGGGATTTTGCAAAGGTTTATTGTCCATGGCGTATTGTTTTGCACTTAGTTGGCTTAATTATTCTGAAGAACGTGCGGTCCAGAGTGGCTTGTAACTCCTCAGTTGTACGACGATCTAGATCTCCAGTTCTGTAATTTTTGGCCCCACTGCTCTCAGGCATGGACCCATATTTTTGGGTCCCTTGTGAGCACCTATAATCATCAGCATAATAATCAGCGAACCTGCACGCCTCGAGATATTTAGGTGTTGTTTGGTAGGAGATGCTGCGCGATAATGCATGTTGTCACTGGCATATGTGAGGGAAGCAAAGCTGCTGTCTAGTGGAAGCCATCCGGAATGCGAACGTTTTCGGTGCGGGTCACCTGAGTGTGTATTGTTTCTTTTGGCCTTTTAGCTTGTGACAGATTTTTCCCTTCATGAAGTTATGATCACAGAATCGTTCAAAACGTTCAAAGCTTTACCGGGGGTATCGGTAAAATGTTTTACTTGATTTCATACGGTTACCGTTTTTTGAAGTATTTGGTAATACCTAACCTCAAATACAAGTCCCACGTGCCTCAGTTCAAGTCTCTGTATCTTGCTATCAGTTAAACATCATTGGTTGAATGACAGATAATCAGTTATTCATACATAAATGAATCTTCTTCACTTCATAGGCATTCCAGTAGCCTCAAAAGCTAGATTACAACTGAGCCCTGGGAAACTTCAAACACTCAGTACTGGACTCAGACAAATCGCAACGCAGACTCGTGAGAAAAAGGGGCATGTGGGTTGCTTGTTGGAACGGACGAGACTCGCAGAAAACCTTGTGTTGGACAAGGTTACTGCACCTATTGGGGTCCTGATGGTGATATTCGAATCTAGACCGGACTGTCTCCCTCAGGTGAGGTAACCATCTGAATGAAGCTATTATACTTTGTAATTATGACTCCACATTCAGTCAGTTACCTCTAACAAAAGTGACAGGTTACTGTTCTCTTTTACGTTGGATCAGCGTGATACCTATCAATACTGTCCCTAACAAAAGATATAATAATTCAGCCCCATGTTTGGGGTTCATAGTTTACTTCACCCTAGACGAATACGGAGTAGGACCTGTTAAGAGTGGTTGAAAATGTTTGGAATAATCTGGTGGTTGACATCAAAAGTATACGAAACGTACTACCCTTCAAACAACTCAATCAATTACATGAATGGTTTTGTCTTTCATTTGTTAATTGGAGTAGTTCTCGTTTTTCATGTTTTATTCTGCGGTTAGAGGTTTCAGAGGGTGACAGATATTCAGTGCTGAATTTCCCTCAAATGTTGAGATTTTTCGCTAATTGTAGCTGTGATAGTAGGCCAGTGTGGATTGTCACCTAGTTGGTTCCTCCTTATGTTGCTCTTTTCCTCTGTCACTCGCTCCTGGCGTGTGCTTCTCCGCCCAACGTGGATAGTTATTTTTGTTCGTCTGAAATATCCAAAGTAACTGGAGCCAAAGATGTGGAAGGTGAGAATGGTCTTGTTGAAGAGGATTCTGCCGTGACGTGGCCGGTGCCTGACTTTGATAAACAACAGTTTGTGGCTGCTTTCAAGCATCCATTTTTCGTCCGTAAGAAGCGGGTGCATTCGGCTTCCTTGAGCCATTCGGAAGTTAATGGTGTTATGATCGATGTCGTTCTCCCAGACATTCGGACGTTGACTGCGACGCTGCGTCGACAGAATGTTAGTAGCACTCGGGTTCTTTAGGAAAAACAGACGAAAGTCCCGTGATGGATAACGTATACCTGGTAAGTGAGGTGAAAAAACCACGAGAAACCTACCGACGTTCTGGATAAGATAGAACTCGACCATGGTGATCCATATTATTACTTCGCGGCTAAAAGCTTTCTTCCTTACTTATCTATTGAACGCAAGTAACGCCTCATTTGGTGGCTCAATGTAAACGCTTTGATAGCTTCATTGCGGTAGATCGCAATTCGACTGGACATTCATAAGTGACGCTAGTGACGCTTCATCCAAATAATTGACTTCCTCATGTTTCCATCCATGTTTCCAGTAGAATTATCATGCTCGACAAACTTACCGTACTTCATGTCAAATCGAAACACAGGTGGAGGACTTCCTATAGTTTTATGATATTTCAAATAATAATTCGTTTGCGTCCTACAGTCTTTTCGAGTACTGTCTTTTGTAGACCGCTGTACTGTTGGTTCAATGTGATTCACCGTGAAGGTTGATTAGCCGCAGGTGGCATGCTATGATGGCAATCCACCTTTAAGATCGATATTGCGTCTCAGGGTAACTACCACCCGCATGAGGTTTCGAAGATCGTCTGGTGCAGTAAAATCGCATTCAGGTTGTTGGAAAGGTAGAGAAATGTGAACCGTAAACGCAGGAAGTGCTTGTAATGGCTTACACATTTCCAACGCTGTCAATTGACGAATGAAAATATATGCAAACCAAACACCTGTTATCCTCATATATCCCAAGTGAGGTAGTTACTTAACAAGAATAACCCAGGCTGCATTTGATCCCATTACCCTTGTAACAACAGTCGTAAATGCCCGATGTGCAGCAACAAAATGTGAAAGCACGTCAACAGAGACCAAAGTATTCCCCACAACAATTATGAGCTCTCGACAGTTCTTTTTAGAAAATTAGGTGGCATTTTTAGAGCGAGTTGATAAAGGTGTCAGAAATTGATACTAGATTTAAGAAGCAATATATGTAGTACAGCACTCCCTCAGCTGTTTCCAGAAAACAAAATGTTCAGCAACTCAGCTGATGAATAACATGGTCTTCATGCTCAGGCGCGACAAATAATTCTCTCCGATGTGTGATGTTTTTAGATTATAAATTTTATGACCTAGCCTCAATTGCATTGCTGATGTGCTCTGACTTCGTGGTTACCTTTCTATGTCTATCGGGTTTCCTCCATTGAATGCCTGATTGGGATTCTGTATCCTTGAAGCTTCAAACTTGCACCAATGTAAGACAATCTGTAAGTCGAACACTGATCAGCCGATATGATCGGCAGGGTGGAAGGTATGCAAAGCGTGATCGGGATATTGCAGTTGTGCTTATTTATAAAAATTGGAAAACTCTACTTTTCTATATTTCGGATCTATTTTTACCCCTGCAGATTGCGGCCTTGTCCATCGCAACTGCAAATGGGCTGATAGCCAAGCCTGGATCGGAAGCATTGAGGAGTGTTCGCGTTCTCCATAAGCTCATCAAACAAGCACTCACGGAATCTGGACTGCCAGAAACATCAATTGGTTTGCTTGAAGGTCGACAAGATGTGCAGCGTGTGTTAGGAGCTGGGACAACAGAACCGCTGGTGGATTTGATCATTCCCCGGGGAAGTTCACAAATGATCCAGACTGTTAGGACGGCTGTGAACGAAGCCGGAACAGGAGTTCCAGTTCTTGGACATGGTTCTGGTGTATGTCACGTGTATGTTGATGAATGTGCTGACCCAGAAAAGGCAATACGAATAGGTGAGAATCAATTCGGCATATGTGTTCTAACGATTGTTTTTGAAGTTTTTATATGAAGATATTTTCAATCCCTATATTTGGAATATATATATATATATATGTATATATATATATATAAATGTATAGGGAATAATCAAGCCACTAGAAATATATGATTGTCCTTGATGCAATAATGAGAAGTTCCAGGGTTACATAGACCATAGTCGTTGTAATCACAGTATTGTTGTTTTTTACCCCTAATAACATAAACCTACTTTTATTCGTGGTTTACGTATAGCAGAATTGTGAAATCAGCAAACCATGCGAGATGCATAAGTAAATGCGATAACGCAATCGCAAAGTAAAGTTATCTGATAAGTGGCGTAAAACTTGACGGGAAAATAAAATGCAGGACTAGAAATTTTCATCTTGGCCTGATGCAAGTTTCCTATGAAGAATCACTATTTTTTATCAAGGTCGCCCTTCCTATTGAATAAACATTAAAACCCCGTCCGTTAATAAAGCTGATCTGTTGTGGCTCCTTATAATATTAAACGCTATCTAAAGACCAGTGATTGTAGTCCGGTTTATTCGCAGATTATTTGCCCTTGTGGAAGATGCGAGGGCAAAGATGATTTAAAATAGATACTCAAGGGAATGCGTATGATTGTGTCTGAATGAGTCGGTGAAGTGTTATTTATAATACACTGTGTAAGGCAGTCTAGATATAATGAAATTTGTGTGTGCATCTTCGGAAGACTTGGTAAGATCAAGAAGATAATGAGCACTGAGAAACGCTATAACAGAGAGGAAATCGGTTTTGTAAAAGAGAGCCTTCTTCAGACGGTACCACAAGTTTCCACTTCGGCACTGATACCAGACGCAAAAGAGTGGAGCGTAAAGTTCACAGGATATCCCTTGGATTACCTTCAGGTTAATGTGTGAAGACAGGTATTAATAATCTAATCAAGCCACTAGAAATATATGATTGTCCTTGATGCAATAATGAGAAGTTCCAGGGTTACATAGACCATAGTCGTTGTAATCACAGTATTGTTGTTTTTTACCCCTAATAACATAAACCTACTTTTATTCGTGGTTTACGTATAGCAGAATTGTGAAATCAGCAAACCATGCGAGATGCATAAGTAAATGCGATAACGCAATCGCAAAGTAAAGTTATCTGATAAGTGGCGTAAAACTTGACGGGAAAATAAAATGCAGGACTAGAAATTTTCATCTTGGCCTGATGCAAGTTTCCTATGAAGAATCATTATTTTTTATCAAGGTCGCCCTTCCTATTGAATAAACCTTAAAACTCCGTCCGTTAATAAAGCTGATCTGTTGTGGCTCCTTATAATATTAAACGCTATCTAAAGACCAGTGATTGTAGTCCGGTTTATTCGCAGATTATTTGCCCTTGTGGAAGATGCGAGGGCAAAGATGATTTAAAATAGATACTCAAGGGAATGCGTATGATTGTGTCTGAATGAGTCGGTGAAGTGTTATTTATAATACACTGTGTAAGGCAGTCTAGGTATAATGAAATTTGTGTGTGCATCTTCGGAAGACTTGGTAAGATCAAGAAGATAATGAGCACTGAGAAACGCTATAACAGAGAGGAAATCGGTTTTGTAAAAGAGAGCCTTCTTCAGACGGTACCACAAGTTTCCACTTCGGCACTGATACCAGACGCAAAAGAGTGGAGCGTAAAGTTCACAGGATATCCCTTGGATTACCTTCAGGTTAATGTGTGAAGACAGGTATTGGAGCATAATTTCTCATCAGTTCTAAAGCTTGTAATAACTAATCATATGAAAAGTTTATGCTATAGGTGTTTTATACCCTAAGGGATGTTTGATTAAGATCATGAACTAGATCCCTTGAAAGCCATGTTTCCGAATAGTTAGAGAGTTAATGGTTGCGGAGCCAGCGACCAGACATCCACCGTCAAGTATGACACGCGGGCCTTCAGATTGTAGAGCAGTGGGAAAACTGAGACTTGGCACAATGCTCATTGTTCAATCAATGCAACTACATACCGAAAGACTGAAAGCTTGAAAGGGATCGTTTCGCAAATATTGAAGACAATACACGGCAATCCTGACAACTAATCACCTTCTAGCTCATTGGCTAAAGTCTGCTTTCAGACCGCCGAATATTAACGGTGGTCATTTTGCCGCGGATAATAGATAACCGTTGTCCTGGTAAAATGATATCCTAAGGTAGTATTTTTAGTAAGTGGTGCATTGTCAGGGGTTCCACTACCATGATACCCGTGGGTCACGTGGTATTCATCCGAAAGTCAGCTGTAGGACTTAGCGTGACGTTATCACTGCTTATGTTCCCTGTTCAGCATGTTTAAAACACACAACAATACTCAAAACCATGCAGTTGCATTGAGATCGTGTTTAGTGGACAATGAAGCGTGTCCTGAGACCAGAGTGGAACGGTATCGACACTAGAAATAACAAACTTAGATTATTTTGATTGACTAATCTGTCCTAGACACTGCACAGGAGTAAAAAAATGTAGACTATAAGTGTACAATCTCTGCAAACGATGAAGCCAACCTTACCACCCACGTGGAAGCAGACTGGCGATTCATTTACGAGGAAGCGGGGTGATATCTGTGCTCTCTGATCCTACAAAACAGACCAAAACCCACTATTTTTTTCAGTGAAACCGGGCATTTACACATATCTATTCCGTGATTATGGCTAACATTTCGTTGGGAAGTCTCCAAGGGTGCAACCGATTGTGGCCAATGGGCTGAAGAGTAGCGTCAAAAAGTTTGTACCAACCACCATCGGCCAGATGTAATTCTGCGATAAGTCGATTTCCGCTTGGCTAAACCGGCAGCAGGGAACTTGGGTGAACGAAGCTTAAGTGATTTTCAAATATCTAAGGGGGATGCTCCCTCTATTTTTGGGATTCTTGAGTATGAATAGAAATAGCCGATTCGCTCGAATGTGATGTCTGATACGCAGGGAATTTGAAGAACCCCCTTGCACATTATGCTGAAAATGATTGGTTACTTTACCAACTACATCCTATCTGAGATCAAAAATTACCACACTCTTTAGTTAATCAGAACATAAGAAAATGGAACCACAAGTCAGAAACAACCGGAAAACAGAGTGGTTCAGCTGTGTTCCTTTCGAGCACACTTTCCAGACTACTTGAAAGATCAAGTAGCTTATGCTGGGCACAGAAACGACTGAAGATGTTGATTAAAATAGGATACACAGGCCGCTGGTTATCCATTAAATTTTTTTGGGTGAAACAAGGGGAAGACTAAACACACCTGCTGGGCACTAAACTAAAAACTTCCTTGGGTTACCGCTGCACATGGGCCTCATTCAAGGACTTGTCGCGGAATCTGGATAAACAGCTGGGCAAAAGTACACCCGATGAGTGAAAAAAATAAAACGGATCTACAAATAAAGTCAAACACTGCAACTCCTTAACTGTCATCTTCTTCTATTTGGCGCCAGATTTATGAGTTCTCCTAACTGTACGATCCTTGCACGTTTCTTCATCTTGCAATTTTTCTGTGTCGCTTGACATCAAATTCCTGACTGTACCCTATGATCAGGGAACGACAGAAACTAAACCAGAATAAAGATAAATATCATGTCCTAATAAAGCTTCCCCACATCCTATTTGCCTACACTTTGGTTCCTGAACGATCAGAATTGTCTTGATTATTGTCTTGGTTGTTTGAAAGGCTGCTGAGTTTAGTGTTCCTATAGATCAACAAAGTGGATCCTCCGTCTGCTCTCACTGCTTACCGTGAAGGACCATCAATCACACAATGCAAGAACAGATGCAACAAATGCGCGCTGCTGTATTAGAGTGTTTTTGCCTCTGTATACTCTGCGATAAAAATTATATCATGTGGATTATAGTTTAGGGAGAGCGATGTGCCTCTTCCTGCGAGGGAGTAAGGTAAGTGCTGACGTATCATCAAGTGATATAGGGTAGATAGATGGTAAATAGATTTATAGTTATCTCTAAGGGCGTATAATTGCGTTCTATCTGAAGTAGTACGTTCACAAAGATAAGCCATGCTGAAAAACACGCCGGTAGAATACTCACTGCTTTAGTCGTATTCAGACTTTATACAGATAATTCTAATTTAAACTGTATGATGTCCTTTGTTTATCAGTAGTATTCATCATTTCGGAATATACAGACGTGTTCTTGTGTTTCTGTGCACTTCGTTTCTTGTACGATGACAATTTCAGCGAAATAATGTGCGGCATGATGAAAGTAAGTGAACGATCTTCAAGAATGCACTCGCCGGGAATAGAATCTCCCGTTTTCTAAGTATTCCGAGTTACCGGATGCGCCTGAGATCCAATAATGCAAAACTTAGCCAATATGTCCAACTATCAATTCCCCAAATTTGATTGTTACAAAGCCTAATGGAGGCTGTAGGGAAGAAGTGTTCGGGAAACCACTGTGCTGGGTCTGATGTTTCCTTGGTTTTTGCTTCTGTTGTCCCCGAACCTCCAGTTAAACCTGGGAAACAGTGCAAAACCACAATAGTGACTCATCTAAAAATGTCGTGTTATAATATGAGCTGATGCTAAGGAAGGTCTAGATTAAGTATCGTAGTTTAAATTGTGGTTGAACCAATGTATTAAAAAACCGGGACTGACGTCAACTCTAGTGTTGCATTCTACGCTTCTGTGAAAACCACGAGTATTTCGCCGAAGTGTTCATTGGTGTGTCCCAATCACCTCCGAACACACGACAGTCATCAGATTCTGCACTCCAATCTTTCGGAATACGTATATTGTTCAATGGTCTGAACATCATATCATCAGGCATGTGTGTCCGAGGCAAAGGGACAGTTGGGGTAGTCGACCATGGGTATAATCTGCAGTTAATTCAAAATTTAGCTGAACCAGCGGAGGAAGGCCGAAAAAACCTACTTCTCGAAATTTGCTGCAAATTCGGTAAATGAGGTAAAATGCTAGATAGGTAGGGCAACATCCAGCGCAATAACATGCCAAATCAGGCCTTCAACCTGGTCACTGGTCCGTTAATAAATTACAGGGTCCTTTAC